GATGCAGTGACTGACTGCAAGGCACTTTTCAAATGCTGTGTGTGTGACCATTTCTATTTATGCACAAACAGTTAAGCAGTTAAAGGCTCATACATGAATTACATACATCGGTCATGCACGTTGGTCGCTCTCCCTAGCTCGGATCCAAATCTGTATTAAAATCGTATTAAGTCAGCTTCACTTGACAATTGTTGGTAGGAGTGAAATAATTTGCCTAAGTGTACTGCTATGCAAAATGATTGGAAAGTTGTCTAGAAGGCAATAGTTGAGTCAGTCGGCAGCTTGGCTTCGCCCACTAACCTTGCAATGCACTTGCAGTTTTTCGCAAGGCAAGCAGGGCCTTGATTTGAACTTTTTAGTTTTTAGGTTTCCAGGAAAGACGAGTTTATTTTGGTTTTTGATTTTTATACCCTGTACCCAAAGGGTACAAGGGTATATTAGTTTTGTGCGAGTGCACATTGAACACACAGAAGGAGGCTTGGTAGACCCCACAAAGTACATATATTCTTGATCAGCATGACAAGCCGAGTCGATATAGCCATGTCCGTCTGTCTGTCCGTCTGTCTGTCCGTCTGTCTGTCCGTCTGTCTGTCCGTCTGTCCGTCTGTCTGTCTGTATGAACGCAAGGATCTCCGAAAGTATAAGAGCTAGAATAACCAAACTTGGTATACAGATTCTCCTGAGACCGAGAAAGGACGAGTTTGTTCATTTTTTCTGATCCACCCCCCCACTCCTCCCCTATTAACGATTTTCTATAACTCCCGTAATTCTTGGAATTTTGAACTAAAATTAGTCACATTAGGTTAGTAATTATATATCCGTATACCAAGTTTCATTATAATAGAATGATCGGAAAGAAAGTTATAGCCATATAACCAGGCCCAATGCACACATACAGACATATGTACAACTACACAAACACGCATAAGACACGATTCTGATGTAAATGTAAATGTATGTATGCATACATGGAATATTTTATATTTAATTTAGTTAATTAATTAAATTAATTTAGTTAATTAATTAAATTAAATTAATTTAATTACTTTTTGGTGGGGTGGTACAGGGTATTTAAGAGTTGAGCCTGCTCGACTTTAGCATTCCTTTCTTGTTTGTATATATGTATGTACATTTCTCATTATATTACAAGTATATATGCCTTAGCATGTGGTACCCTGAAATTTAATAGTAGTAGTTTCTATAGAAACTTTTCTGGAAATGATCATAATGTGAGAAGAGAAACATAATACACCTAGTCCTCGCCTAAACCGACATCTTTTAATGTGAGCTCGGTCTAACACGATTAAAAATTTGCTACCTTTTCTCCTTTAACACGCTGAAGACATCGTTCTTACACGATAGAAGTTGAAAATACATATATACATATAGTATACATATATGTATAATTGCAAGAAAAAATAGTTAGCTCAACAAATACGGGCAAGACCTGCTAGTATACTACATATACATATACAAGTATGTGTACATACAAGTACGAGTACATACAGGCAATATTTTATGCGTTAGTCTTTATTGGACATAAGCCCAAGCTACCTGTTGCTCGCTAACGATTTCATTGTCTGACACGAAAGCCATCGTCTTCCCCTCTGCTAAGCTTGGCTACTAACTAATTGAACTTTAGGGCAGCGCCATTGGTGCTCTTGTTCACCGGCTTGCTTGGTATAATACTTTTTCCCTTTAGAGAAAAACGAAACTTTTGGGCTGGGTGCATAGGCAGAACTTTACTTCATTGTGTTGCTATGGAAGCTCGGTTGGTGTGGATTAAAAGGCAAATGGATTAAAATCGAATGGGCTCCAATTTTTGGGGGCTGGTGGCGGTTGAGGGTGTGGTATGTGCGTAAGAGCATCCGGGTTTGCAATTTTTGAGACTTTTTAGTTGATTCAGAGCAAGCGTAATATGTTTTTGTAAGCATTTCTCGCACGGGGACTTTACATAGCGGGCTCTGCTAGGTTATACTTACTTATATGCATGTACATACTTGTAGTATTATTAGCGTCGGCTCTTATCAGCGGTGAAGAACATTTGGTGATTTCGCCGGTCGATCTGTGCTATATAAAGAGTCGCTACGTTGCTGTATTATCAACAATCAAGATGCGCACTCTGAGCCTTGTCTACGCGTTGCTGATGCTTTGTTTTCTTGGCTTTCCCAACTTAGGACGTGCCATACCCTTTGTGGACCGCCGAGGAGGAAGCTGGGGAGGGGGACAGACAATGCGGCCCATACCCACGACGCCGCCATTTAATCCACATGCCAGTCGTCGCTTTTGAAATGGAAATTCGGTGTTGATATATGTATAACTCTTTAAATAAAGTGCTATAATATACGAGTAGTGAAGTGGTTTTTAATCATTTGGGTTTTGCCGTGTTCTTTTGGCTGCTGAGCATTTTGAGGAAAATAAATTGCAACGAACCATTTTCGTATGCGTAAGCTGTGTGTTTTCTTGCTTGCGTTTGTGTGCGTGCAACAGTTGCCTGTCAAGCGATATGAGCTTGAAGAGCGTCACAGCCCGTGATAGAGGAAGAGACAGAGAGAGCGCGAAAGCGGGAGCGGGAGCGAGAGCGAGTGAGCTTGCTGGGTAGGGAAGTTTATTAAAAAAATGCGAGCGCCAAAAAAACATGCGACTAAAAATGAAAAATGTGCGGCATCGGCGGCTGCTCGCCTAGCTCATAAAACTGTTTGTTAGCCAATGTTCCATTCGCTTCCCTCCGGGCACTCCCGTCGCCTAGTCATCGCCTCATACACTTAATGCAGATTTATGATTTTAATAAAGCCCCGACCACACACGCACGTACATTTAAGCCGCTGGTATTACTGGGCGTACTATATACGAGTATGTATGTATGTATCTGGCAAGTGCCGAGCGACACACATTAAACGTTTATACATATTTTACATACGTATGTACATATACATAAGTACATACAGATGCATATGTACAGACGTACTTTTGTTGCCTTCCTCTGCATTATTCTTTGTGAGCATTGGTAGGGCGCATTCCTTATTTTCATATTAATTATATATGTATGTAAACGTTTTGGGGAGTGCCCTTTTTAAGCTTTTTGTTCCTACATTTATTAGCCGAAAATCCTAAGTATAGCAGCAACAATGAGTAGCAAAAGCAACTTAAAACTTTACAACCTTATCCAATCGTAAGAGCTTCAGAGTTGCATAAGCTGCGGGGAGGGATAAACAAGGACACAGGTAAGCGAAGAGGAAAGCCGTGGGCTATACAAACCAAAAACAAGTGACATTGCTTATGCTAGTATAGCTCTGGTTGCTGCTGTTGATGAGGAAATTGTTTTTGGAAATTCACAAAACTCTTGCCATTCACAAACACAGACACACTTATTCCTAAGGATGTATTTTAAAAAGTATATAAAACTGCGCCACATTCACGAGGTTAGCTCGAACCGATGGTGAAACAGCTTCTAATCAATTTTTATGTTACTCTAGCCTAACTAAATAATTACCTCTATTTTTATACTCTGTACATGAAATGTACAAGAGTATATTAGGTTTGCGGGAGCTGAAAAATGTAACAGGCAGAAGGAGGCGTGGCAGACCCCACAAAGTATATATATTCTTGATCAGCATGACGAGACGAGTCGATCTAGCCCTGTCTGTCTGTCTGTCCGTCTGTCCGTCCGTATGAACACCTGGATCTCAGAGACTATAAGAGATAGAGACACCAAATTTTGCACAAAGATGCGTTATGTGTGTATTCTATACGAGTTTGTTTTATTTTTTTGATTTTCCCCCCCCACTTCCCCCCTATGGGGGTTTTCCCGATTTTCCATTCGTATAATCGCCTATATCTCGGAGACTATAAGACCTAGGAACACCAAATTTTAGTCCCAGATGCCTTATGTGAATACGCAGAAAATGTATATTTTGGAATTCCCCTCCCTCCCCCCTCTACCCCGCAAATCGTAACTCCCGTAATTCTTGGAATTTCGAACTAAAATTTTGGAAATACCCCCAGTTGGTTATTATGTGTCCGTATGCCAAATTTCATTATGATAGACCGATTTAACAAGAAGTTATAGCCATAAATATATTTGCTGATGCAGCGCTGCTGCAGCGCTGCTCAAGCGCTGCCCGCGGCTGTTGTTGATGTTGCTGTTTGGTTGACTGCGAAAATGCTTACACAGACACGAATTGATGCGCATAGGCATACATACACTCACACAGACGCAATTGCTATGTAAATGTGCAATTATACACCCTTTACGTGAGTTTGAATACCGAGAGAGGTAAAATCGATCAAATTTTTTTTTTTATTTTCTTAATTTTTTTATTTTCTATAATTATTGTAAACATATGTACAGAGTATTTCAAAGTCGGGACACCCGACTTTAGCTTTTTTACTTGTTAAAATAGTTAAATATTTAAGCGAAATGTTTATAAGACCGACGAATTTTCTCAAATGGTTGGTGATTGCATTACATTGATAGAAACATGGCCTGAAACTCTGGCCTAAATTGTTTTAACGAATGAATAAATAACAAAAATCTCATTTAAAAGAAAAAGTCCAAGCTAAATGAATCTCTTAAGATTAATATGCGATTTTCAATTTTGATTAAAGTAATCAAGGGAACCAAAATCTGTAAAAGAGATATGAAGTCTCACGCTCCATCGGATGGACAAACGGGCGGACATGTCTAGATCGATTTGTATCTTCATGCTGATAAAGATATATATACTTCACTTCATAGGGTCGGAAAAGCCTCCTTATGATTGTTGTATAATATACCCTTTTTTACCCTGTACCCAGAGCGTTAAAGGGTATACTAGTTTAGTGCGAATGTATATAACACACAGGAAAAGGCGTGGCAGACCCCCAAAGTATATATGTATATTTATAATCTATATCCGTCTGCATGAAGGGATACAGGGATACACAGGGATCGCAGGAAATACACGAACTAGGATAATCAAATTTGGTAACCACTTTTCCTAAGCCCAAGGAAGATAACGTTTTTTTTCAGATACTATTTTATTAAATTTAGGAGAAATTAATTAACAAATTATGTTCTACTTGTATATGTATGTTTTTCTGAGACGGGGTACAGAAATAGTAAACTCCCTATTGCTCGAACAGGCCTCGGACGCGTGGAACTCGACAATGCGCAACTTCCGTTAAATTCAACGGAAGTGGAAATACACAAACCCATGCACATACACATATGTACGTAAATGAGCCGCGCACCACCACCGCTATATAATGCAAATTTGATGTAAATGCGGCAACAAAAGCAACAAACTGATCATCAGACTCAGCCACAGCCACAATAACGCGCCGGTCGACAATGTTGAGTAGAAAAATGGTTTTTTGGTGTTTACCTGAGCGCATGCGGTTGAACAACAGAATGCCTGCAGCATCAGCAGGGCTTGTAATGCTTGAGGACTCGGGGCACCAAGGCATTCCAGGCACCATGGCATGTCTGAAGCACTCGCAGGTAGGCGAGGAACTGCTTATAGTTGAACGAATCTTGCGGCGAGTTCGGATCCTGTTTGTGGTAGGAGCAGAGATCATGGTAGATGAACTTACGGGGCACGGGCGGTTCCATATCAAATGTGCGATAAACCTGACTGAAAGGTATGGACTCGTCGCTGTAGTACATCAGAGTTTGAGCAAAGCTGTGGGGGACACAATAGGTGATCCAAAGTTGCTATCAATTTAAGCATCTTTACGCACCAAGCCTCAGACAGTGCCTGTTTGAACTCAGCTGTTTCAGTTACACGATCTACTTCTTCATCGCCCAGCGGCTGCCGTAGCTGCGACATAAAAGTACCGGGCAGCATGGCCAGCCGCACCGCGCTCATTACTGCGCCCACATGCTGAAGCCGGTTTGGCCAATCGTGATCCAGCCACCGCACCGCCGCATAAAACACCTCCTTCTCAGAGTTGACGGCTAGTTCGTCGGAGTCGAGCAGTGCACACACGCTAGATGCCGGCAAGCGGACAAACTCTGCAGTGGCGACGAGCGTCAGGAAGAAGCGGGAAATACGCTGCATCATGAGTGCCTCTAGATGCTGAAAGCCAGGAATACGTTCCGCTGCAGTAGCCACCATGAAGGCATCTGCCTCGTAAAACTCTTCCATTTGATCGAGGCAGTACCAGACCTGCTGAACCAAATCCGTCACCTCCAGGAATGTGCTAGCGGCTAGCAGCTCTACAATGTGCTCCTTCTCCACGACAGGCTCGCGTTCCACCATCCATCTGTAGGCTATCTCAAAGCCCACGGGAGTCACCTTTTCTACAGGCAGTTGAACCTCGTGCTGATCAGGGAACTGAGACATATAGTCGGTGTAGCATATCAAAATTGTTCGTTGGCAATTGAACTCTCGTTTGCCAACGCGAACAAGCAAATCCGGGCAATCGTTTTGTTCCAAAAACTGCAGAAGCTTCTCTACCACGGTTTGTTTGGCGTCCTTGTTGGGGGGCAGCTGTTGCTGCTCCGGTTCAGATAGTTGGCTGCCACCATAAAAGTCGGCGAGGCTAAGGAGCTGCAGATCTGGCTCTGGTAAAAGCTCCAAATCGGTGGTTGCCGGCACGCTGCCACCAGTCTGGGGTACCTCTCTCGGGCGGTCTTGGCCTCTGTTGTTCTCTTTCTCATTTTTTATTGGCTTGTCTGCCATTTTGCTTTTACTTACCTACTCGTGAGACTAAAAATTTTGAATCTGTTTTGATTGACCTGCTGAGATTGCTTTGTCAATTTCACTTTTGGCCAATTAGAAGCACAATGCGTCCTAAATTATACAACATGCAGCGACAAATTCAATTTGCCATGCCATTGTGGGACTTATGAATGGATGAAGTCAGCCATGGCCAAACAAAGCGTGGCACGCACACGTGCGACTCTAACAACAAGAGCAGCAGCAGCTCACCCTCTCCAAACAGAGTCCAGACAGACACGTCTGAACTTGTTCAAAAATCCCTGGAGAAATTAGTTTGATTTATGTTGAGTTTCCGGTGCAAATAAATTGCCAAGTTTAGGGCAAAACACGCGGCTGGCCGATTGCTTGTGTGCGTGGTGTGTAAAGTTGGGGGATGGATTAGGATAGCAGACGCATAATTGATAATGCGAGAGGTATACATACATATATGTTTAATAGTAGGTTTGAATCTTTATTAGCACTGGTTGAGAGGGGAAGACAAATATTGCGTGTCACTCTTGAAGAGGTGCTTATTGAAACAACCGTTGAGTTCATCTGTTTTTCGCGATGCCGTGTAGTTAGACAAATCAATATAAAACCCTCTTTACTCGTATATATAAATTTACGTTTTATATTTATAGTACCTTAGAAACAAGTACATACCTTATTTTAACTTTGCCTTACAGGTTATAAACACTCAAAAATATTTCAAAGTCTTTATGAATGCAGTATTTATTTTTTAAGGGTTGAGATTAGGGGTCATAGCTTAATAACAAAGAAATAAGATATCTGAAAAATGCAAAGATATTTGCTTTTGTCAAAGCTATAGATGATTCTAGTACATGTAATACATAAATAAGATTAAACTCCTAGTTTACTTGTAAGCTGTATTTGTATTTTTCTACAAGTTTAATTGAAGTTATTGTAAATAATAACAGTATAATTAAAGTTTTACATAAAAAAATTATATATTTTGAACTTCTAAAAATACTACAACTTAGTTGCTCTGCTGGGTTTGCCTCTCCCATATCTACATACATACATACATAAAAACATATGTATGTACATACACAAATGGACTACTTATTAAAGTCATGATTGTGTTTGCTATTGAAATTAAAGTCATAAAATGCTCAAACTCTTCACCACGGCCAATGCCAAAAGTCGCAAAATATGCAAACAATAACACAAACAGCGCAAAAAAACATGCACTATAAAGCAACATTCACAATCACAAACACATCCACACACACACACATACTGACAGACAAAAAGGGGAAAACTTTCGATGTGAGATGTAAAATAGCAACAAAAGCAACACGAGAATAACAACAAAAACCCGACGATGTGGCATATGTGGCAGTGCATTCTGCGGTGCATATGGCAAGCGATTTTTGTGTTCATGTTAACAAAATAAACAGATACGAGGGCTGCCTGACTATAAATCCAAAAATTACCAGTCTGTCATAATTATTTAATAACTCAAATGGTGCGTTTGAAAAAGTTAAATACACATCAATACTTTAAACACTTGAAGAAACACGTTAATGTTTTCTCTTATAATAAGACTAGTGTCCTGCCCCTGTTTCGCACGGGTATTATTACAAAAATTTTAAAAATAATACCTTTTATCACACACACACGCCCATCTTTTTGCTATGAGTTACTAAAAAGGAGTAACATTTATTTTGGATATTATTATTTTAATGATTATTTGTTCGTTTTTAGATTTTCTTGTTATTCTTTATTAGGTCAAAGGTTCTCTGTAAAAGATATTTGATGTTTTATTTTGTGGTAGCAAAATAAATTGGTTTTCATGAGCTCCGACCCGTGATAGGTCAACATACAGTAAGACATTGCTTTCGTATGTCGATCCCTAATAATTCAAGGCTTGGCCTTGGGACTACCGGAAATTGAAGCCATATAAATGATCAAATGGGATCATCGGTATCCTCGTTATATGAGCTAGTTGACCAGTTGCTGGGCCGTTGATAATAGTTGCTACACTTAAATTGTCCTGCAATTCCTTAATAAGCAGCCTCGTTTCATTGCACATACTTGGAAGGCATTAATTTCTCAAAAGCATGATTGCAATTCCGAATTTTACCGTCAATTCATGTGGCGGCTATCCAGAAGGGTTTCACTATTTAAATGTCTTTAATATTAATCACGGTGTCGATCGATTTGTAATCTTTTATTTGGCTGGGGGCTTTTAAATAATATTGCTTTAATACTAAAAGTGACAATGTTTCGAGAATGATAATGTACTAACTACTAAAGGTAATTTTTTTACACCTTTGGTTACATTATTGGCGTTTTAGTAAGGATTCCATTCCTTTCTGCATGTTAGCCGTCGACAGTGTAGCTTGCCAACAGTGAAGGAATCCATTAAATCGGTCCAGTATATTCGGAGCCTTTTCAATTCAAACAAACAATCCAATCTTTCCTCTTTATAATATTAGCATAGATATCACTAATAAATAAAAATGTTTAACAATAAGAAAAAATTTTACCTACTGTAGTGCTGTGAAAGACTGGAAACGAAAACGACAGGAAAAATCTTGTAATTTTCAGAACTTACGACTTCTCTGATATTTTCTTTGCATTCATACAGACGGGTAGACAGATATGGCAACCGTATCGTAATCTGAACAATATATTTATTTTGTGGGGTCTATCCCGCCTCCTTCTACAATACGTTACAGAGATTCGGTTAAACCAGCATACGATTTCGGTAGTGGAAAGTAGCAGCTGCTGATTTAAATGTAGGGTAAAGTATTTTTTATTTTAGAATGCTCAATAAACAAAGCTTTCACTGTCACTTTACAACTATTTATTTATTTCTTTTTATATAATTCTAGCTTCAAATTAAAATCTTAATACCAAAAGAAGTGTTTTGGTTAAAAGAACAAGGTATAGAGGAATGATAGACCACATGCTATGGGTACATGTACTACTATTCAAGTGCATGGCAAAAACTGTGTGTTTTTAGCATAGTCAAAAGCAAAACAGTGATAGTCCATAACGGTTAATTATTAAAAGCTAACTGTAAATTTGTACAGTTCCCTGATGCTGCATTCTAAGTGAAACACCAAAGCATTTGAAGGCAGCCCTTTGCCAAAAAGAGAAAAACACAATACAAATGCTAGAAAATCTTGTCCCTATTCAAGTGCATGGCAGTGTATATATAGTATTAGGTATAGTTGGTATGAGAAGACGAATCCAAATCGCAATGACATTCCATCTGTCCATCTGTCTGTGTCAATCCCTCTCCAATTTTTTGATAGACCGAGTTGTCAAATTTGATGGTGTAGCATATAGTAATGGATGGTCAAATGAAAAATAAGAGAAAATGGTTTTTACATACAGGTTCGATATTTCGAGCACAGTATACACCCTAATCTTCTCGGCCAAGGACCATGAAGGCAAAAAGTAAAGCCAGAGCAGAGCAACTTGATGTGTACGAGAGAGCCTGAGGCGGTTCCTGCAATGGCAAGATGAGGTGCATGCATTCTCGGAAATAGAAATAAGTTTGGGGTACAAACTCTAAAACAGCCCAAGGCTCTGCCCAGCTTTCATTCCAGGCATAACTGGAGGTCGTTACAAAAGCATGGAATTGTTTTTATATATTCGTTAACCAACCTGTTCGTGTCAGTGTTCCTTTGAGACACACTAAATATCCACTTTATTTATGATAGATCTGTATAGCGAAGGGCTTAATTGGACGCTGGTACTTGTTTTACGGCCCTCGTATATCTGCACATGCTCATAGAGCGGTCAGCAGTCGCCAGGTGGATGGTTGCTTCAAACAGCAGTTGAGATGGGCGGGACGGAACTTGTTCATGGCTCGCTGGGCTAAGCTTTTACTTTACCATTTACCAGAGCCTTTTCACTTGTTTGTTTAATAAACTTTCTGATGCATTTCTGCTGCTGTTCAAAATGCGCCACTAAAGTACTTAAGCAATTTTTATCGCCGGACTTTGTCAGTTCAAATTGTTGGCTGTTAGCTTGAAAGTTGAGGCAAGTAAATTTTTCAAGGAAAAGTTTCTGCACAAATTGCATTTTACAGGCAACGAACCTTAGTGGCAATGGCCAGAAAGCAGCGTCATAAATGCCAATCTTTCTGGGTGTGGCCTGAAACAGCCAAAGTCTGGTATCGCTTGTCTTATTGTGCTTGGTTATGTCTCAAAGCTGCGCTCTCCGCAAACTATGCAAGCAAGTTTGCCTTGACACTTTGACATTGACAATGATGTATGGGCTGGGTATGTACGGTGTGCGTATTGCTGCTTGTGTTTAGTCATAAAATATCGATTTACTAGCTACATATATATATATATATATATACTATATACTCAGTTATCGGTCAGATCCCATGAGTACTTTGAGCTTTCTATGAAGATTGGATGACAAGCTTACAGCTTTTATAGTTTCTGAGATCCTTGCGTTCATCCAGACAGGCGGACGGACAGACATGTCTAGATCGATTTCTCTCGCCATGCTGATTCAGAATATATACTTTATGGGGTCGGAGATGCTTCCTTCTGCATGTTACATATTGTGCACAAATCTAATATACCCTTTTTACCCTACGGGTACAGGGTATAAAAACATCTATGCACATCTATTTCGATGAGGTATATTTGTTTTTATGCATGAATGTTATTATTGGTCGCTTGGAACGGGTTTACTATTGATAAGAGGAAGAATTTACCCAAACCTTCTCAAAAATCGTACAACCCAAGCAATAAGAATGTATATCAGTCAAATTTCCCTAAACGAAAGTAAGTAACTAACATGTGGTCTACTATTCTTCCTTTTGGGTGTTTACCGGAATATATGTACGTATTTATATTTGTTATCAATTTTTAACAGATGCGAACAGTGATATATTCGTATCTTAAACTACATTGCGACAATTAAAAATCAATTAAGTTCATCGCTCATTTAAATTTCTTATATGGCGCACATGGTACTCGTACAAGGTGTGTTCCAAAGTAAACAGGACTTTTTAAAAAAAAA